TTCACTTAAAAATATTGTGCCATTTCTTAGGAGCTTCCTTATTGCCTTGAAATAATCAGTTAGTTGAAACAGGGAAAAAAACAAACAAACAAACAACAACAAAAATACTGTTCTACACTCTTTATTAAATTTTCATACCTAATTAATCTAAATAGGTTAAGGAGGAGGATAAAGACTTCCCTAAAGTTCTTAAGTAAGCATTTAGATCTGGGTAAAACCCAGTCTATCATCTTCTAAGAGTTATGGTTAATTTTTTTAACTGATGTGGTGTTTTAAACCCATGAGTGGGTGTACAACATTTATCTATTTCATCTATGTAACACAAAGAATTGCGTGAAACAGTTTTCTACCTCTGTAAGACCAAGGTATTTTGTAATGTAGGTAAGAAACTTTTCACTTTTTTCTTGAAGTATTTTAAAGTTCATTTGCAAATGAACTTTAGGAAAAAACAAAAAACAAAACAAAACAAACAAAAAAAAAAAAACACAACAGATTCTGTTAAGAAATCTACGCTTTCTTGCAGTGTGGATATGGTACACCATTGCTGTGGTTTAACCCAGCCAGCAGCTAAACACCACACAGCCATTCACTCACCCTCCCCCCTCCCTCTCTGGGATGGGGGAGAGAAATGGGAAAGTGAAGCCTGTGAGTTGACATAAAGACAGTTTATTAAGACAGGAAAATAATAATAGCAATAATAATAATAGCAATAATGATAATAATAGTACTACTACTAATAATGTGTACGAAATAAGTGATGCATAATCTAAATGCTCGCCACCCGCTGACCAATGCCCAGCCTAACCCCAAGCAGCCGCCCACCCCTCCCTGGCTAGCCACCCCTATATATTGTTCAGCATGACCCCAGATGGTATGGAATACCCCTTTGACAAATTAAGGTCAGCTGTCCTGCCTTGGTCTGTCCCCTCCAAGCTCCTGCTGCACCCCCAGCCTGCCCGCTGGCAGGACAGAGTGAGAAGCTGAAATGTCCTTGGGTTGGTGTAAGCACTGCTCTGCAACAATTAAAACACCGGCATGTTATCAGCACTCTTCTCATCCTTATCCAAAACATAGCATCCTACCAGCTACTAGGAAGAAAATTAACTCTGTCCTAACTGAAACCAGGACATATATCCACCCCTTATTCCATACCATTTATGTCATGCTCAGGTTACACTCTTTCTAACACATTCTAATTAGTCAACATTTTCATCATATATATATATATATATATATATATATATATATATATATATATATATATAGCAATCATGGTAGTGACATATATATATACATAGCAATCATGGTAGAGACAACATATAGTATTATATAATAATTAACATCATACAATTCAACTCATGGGCTATTCTCACCCAGTATTAGATCCCCTTGAGGTACACACCAGACCTCCCCTTTCTTTTGCATTACCCACCAAGTGCATCCAGGTCCCTGAGCAAAAGCAATCCCATGAATGGGTTTGCCTTTTCTTGAGGCAGGAGCAGCCCAGACTGTCTTACCCAGCGTATTTCTTAAAGGAACTACAGGAACTTTATCCCCTTCTACAGTATGAAACAGGTTTGATTGGGCAGGTCCAGCTCGGTTGGCAGATCCCCTAGTATTGACTAACCAGATGGCCTTTGCCAAATGTGCATCCCAATTGTTGAATGTCCCAGCACCCATTGTTTTCAGCATAGTCTTTAATAGTCCACCGTATCGTTCAACTTTCCCAGAGGCTGGTGCATGATAGGGGATGTGATACACCCATAGAAGGAAAATTAACTCTGTCCTAACTGAAACCAGGACAACCATTTACCATTTGGGAAGTTAGGCTCTAATATCTTAGATTAGTTGTCCTTTACTGTTATTGAGGGTAGACAGAAACCTGCACAACAGGTTGTGGGAGCATGTTTCACACAAGGCTTTGTTTCATTACAATTTTCAGAATTAATCAGAAACTTGAAACTTTTACAGAGAAAGGCCAGCTCCAGTATTTACTCTTCTCAATCTTGACTGTGGGGCTCGCTTATCAGTACAACACTAACCATGCACAGGCATGGATGATTGTTGAAATACTGTACAACTTCCAGAGGTTTAGTACCTCATACCATGTCTAATTTCCAAAATTCATGTTGATAATTTTCATTGTGCCTGTCTTTAAATTATCATGTTATCATAGAGGTTTTAAACCTGTGAACATTGGCCTTGAATTTAGAGCTATCTTGTCAACTTCCACTTGTCTTTTGCAATCTTATATTTTTTTGTTAATAAAACTTTGACATGAGTTAATATCTACTATCTAGATATTTAAACTGAGAACTGAAAAAGAAATTTATTCTCCATATTTTCTAAAATCAAGAGAGGATGGTAAAACCATGCTATTCTTCTTTCTTTAACAGACTAAAAACAAAAAAATCATTTCTTAAATTCCTTCTTCTGCACTTAAGATCACTATGTTAACACAATTTTCAGGCCTTTGAAGCAATAGTAATTATATTTTACAGGTAGGGAAACTGAGTCAGGGGAAGTTGTTTTGGCTTCACATAGATCAATGCTAAGATTAAGGCTAAAGAATTAGTAACCATCAGATGTCAGCCCAGGTCACCAGGGCACATTCCTTCCATGTTGTAGAATTTTTTTCTAGTAAACTGCAGTGGTGGGCAATACTGTAATAATGCACAAAACATAATAGGACAAAAAAAAAAAAAAAAAAAAAAAAGGCTCAACAGATTTGCATGGTGCTTCAGAAACTCACTCTCACTACCAACAGTATTCAATGAAACGGCCATCTGCTTGGGCCCTGATCCTTTCTTAACACACTTTGTACAGCTTGGACAGTAGAGAACCAGATAATAAAGCCCTTACAGTATAGCATAAGGACTAGTTCTTATAGCAGCCTTAGAAGCCCTCACTAACTTCACAGAGGCTTTGTACTGGTGCAGAGATTAATCCATGTGGAACTAATTGCAGGACTGCAGCCTAAGTAAGAGACTGGTCTATCTCTATTTGCTTGTTATCCAGTTGTCAAAATGTACTGCTCATTAAGTGCAGAAACAAAGGGTCCAGATGAATTCTTTATATCTGAGAAATGTGTTTTCCATATAAAAAGAAAATAAACAGTAATACTGCAGTGGAATTTAAAATATTACTGAAAATAAGGGAACACTAATGCAGGTTTTCTGAGACCCTTTCTCTATGTGGTTTGTGATCTACTTTTACTTTAAAAATAATCTATGCAAAATGCACATTAACTACCTGAGTAGTTATGAATGAGGCTAACTACCTGAGTTATGTGAATGAGGCTAAAATAAATACTTTCCACTGCCATACCTCTCTTCTGTAGTGTGAACTCCATGATTTGTTCCAGTTGTACTCTAATCACTTTTCCTCCATCCTGTAATATTGGAGTTTTCTGTCCTACATTTTTCTGGACTCTTCTAACCCAAACAATCTGCTAAAGTCCCTAGCAGCATGATCAGACAGACGGGGGTCACTAATATGAGGGTTTTATCACCAGCAGATGGTAATGAGCTGGTGTAGAGGAGGCATAATGGTATATTTTACCTTGCAAAATTTTGACACAAATATATTATCTACTGTATAGATTTACAAATCAAAAATCCTGTTTAAAAAACAAAACAACAACAAAAAGCACGAAGTGATAAGAACTGGACCTAGTCAATGCTATAGCACCATCAGGGCCAGCCCAAGCTCTAACAAGCTCTAGAAGTGAACCTGAGTGCTCTACTGCCTACCACCACTGAGGATGCAGTTTCATTTTTTAGGACACCTGAGTTTACTTGGCTGCCAAAAAGGGCAGTCACACTTTTTCAAGGCACATTTCTACCTATTCCTTTGTGGAGCTACCAAATCTTGTGCAGCCATGCGAACAAGTCACCTCAGTGATTTGATCTGGCTGAAAATTAACCCAGTAAAATAAATTATTTCTGCAACAGTAACAATTCTCTGATCCAACTTTCTATACAGGGGCAATTAGCATAAATGACAGTGCTAGACAGTGGGCAAGAAGTCAGGAGTGCAAAAGACAGATAGTTGAATTTCACTACCTGTATGGTTAAGGACTGCTCAAGATACAGCTATGTGTTGCTCAGCTGGATATAGAAGACCTACATCATATAGGCACCAAACTACTTACTGCTCAGCACATTGTAATGAGTAGTGTTAATTAACCAAATAATGAAGTAAGAAAATAAGGCAATTCATGCCAGGTGAGGAAGTCGCAGCTGAGAAGTTGGAGTTGCCACACATCAGCCTGCCTATGGCTTCCATTTTTAAATATCTGTCAAGTACCATTTATCTGTTCCTAGCAAGATAAATGGATTTAGGCACTCCCTCACCCCAAAGCCTCAGGCATTGAAACCCACCACTTAATTATCCAGCAAGACCTTGTAACACCCATTAAATGCTTCTTTGCATGTGCTTGTGTGTCTGAAGGTAGGCATGTGTAAAGCCTACTTATATCCTGGTGCTGTTTTGCTGGGTAAAGACCTAACCACAAGGGGATTCTCAGCTAAGTCTCCCCTGGTTATCTCATCCAATCTGAAGCATGTCTACAGGATCAGGCCCAACAGAGAAAACAGGCATGGACAAGACTTCTGAGAGTTGGTGACTAGTATACATATGCATTACATATATGATTACACTCAAAATCTCAGAATTCAAAGCACTCTGCTGCAGTCGTAGAGACTGTTTCCCTTTCATTAACACTCAAAATGTTCCTTTTACACAAATCCTGATTTTATAAAATTGAAATGCAATCAACCTTCTGGATCTGTAGCAGTGAAAAATAATTCATTGGCTTCTGTAGGACTACTCATATAAGTAGCTGATACTTGGGAGAGCAAATCAGGAGTGCAATCCAGAGCGTAGCAAAAAATGCATATTACAATCAGGTATGTCAACTAACTAATATATACGTATACATGTTTAGATGTTACTACTACCATAGAATAGTGTTATGACTATCTTTTCTCTCTCTCCAGGTGTAATTCTTGGATTTTCTCTCCGATCATACAAGATGAGCTATCGGGAAGTCAAGTACTTTTCATTTCCAGGAGAACTACTCATGAGAATGCTGCAAATGCTGGTCTTGCCACTAATTGTGTCCAGCTTAGTCACAGGTAAACAAAAAAAAATATTCTGAAGTTTTCTTTTAATTACATTTATAAACATGTACACAGTGAATAACAAAACAACAGAAAATAATATTCCAAGTGCTAGAACAGAAGCATTAAGAACTACAGGGAAGGAAGGAGGAAAGGGAGGAGGGAAGGAAGGAAACACTGTTTCTGTTGCTTAGTTTCATGTGATCATTTATGTCTTGCCATTCCACCTAAGTTTCATGAAAGACCTCTCTTTTATGGATATTCAGGATGTAACTGTGATGTGTTTATCCTATTAATTATCTGAAAAAAAAAAAAGAAAGTAAATACTTTACACTATCAACAAATTAGTGGTACATCTTGGAGAAACTAATCATAGCATTTGCTGTGTGGTTCTAGGGCCTAAACACCCAACATATTACCTTATTGCCTCTGGATCCTCTGAAAATTAAGCCTTACTCTATTCCACTGATTTTCGAACATTTTAATATTAGAATCTCCTGTAAAATACAAATGAGTCCAGACCCCAATTTCAAGGACACTTAAGACTACGTACATATATAAACTGTTAATCTAACAGCAGAAAACTAGGGTATTCGGGGTTGTGAAATTGCCTTCACATATTTCAAGGAGAAGGAAAAGCTTGCTTCTGTATACACGTATTATATGAATACTGAAAGCTTAATGCATACTGAAACTAGATAAATTTATGAATCTTGTAGAAACAGTAACAGGTTTTATTCCCAACCAGTGTATAATTCTGTTGCCCATTATTTCTCATATCTCCTTACTGTCTTCTCGCCCCTTTCACCTCCAAAAAACTCCCCAGGCTGGTTAGGCATCGATAGAAGAACCATTGAAAATAGAAAGGGAGAGACATTTACCTTTCTTCAGTGTCAGCTGAGATTCCTGCTGCTACTCTTGCTGTTCCATTTTGTAGGATGAGTTATTGCAGCAGAAATTACCTGCTCAGTTCCTTCTAAACCTACATCTATAGTGTTTCCCTGAAAGAGCTGCAGAAAAAACAGGAAGTTTGGTAGATCAACCTATATAAGGACTTGAGTTCACTTACTTTCAAAATTCTAAGTAGAAACCTTTTGTTCAGGTATAGATCTCCAGATCCCGAGTCACAGGTGTCACAAGGATGTGGCCTTGCAATAAAAAACATACCAAATATCAAAATACCAAAACAATGAGTTTCCAGCTAATTCTAGTCTGGAAAGAATCTTCCATCCATGTATTGAAACAATACCCTTCTTTCTGACTTTTGTTTTGTTTTCTTTTGTTTTTGGTAACATTCTTTTACATTACTATATCAAGATTTCTGGCAAAGAGAATGTCATCTACCTGTAAGATTTGTCTTATTATACAGGTGCTTCACAGTGTTTTCCTTGTGTAGTCTATTATTCTTAGAATTTCCCTTTGAAGTACAGACACATTATCAGGGTGAATAACAAGAGTTTAAATTTCCTTAGTTAGGAAGGGAATTATCACAGAAAACTCAAAGCAATTTCCAAATGAAGCATTTGATTCTTAAAAAATAAATAAATAAAAATAAAATAAAATAAAAATAAAAAATAATAATTAATAAATCATAACTACAACAATACCATGTCCTTCTTTATTGGATAAAATTTCACTCTTTTTTTGCTAAAAACTTTAGAAAAATTATTTTCTACACTGACACCTTATTTAGCACATTATTTATAACCATTACAGATATACTACTGTACAATTTCACAGACACTATCAAGGTATTTGTTTCACACATTACAGGTTAATTCATTGATAAAAGTCTTATCCTTCTTAAATCAGTTTTAAGACCACTCTGTGGTGAATCCATGAGCCAAGTCTCTTATTTCCTGTATTTTGTTTGGCAAAGCCATAACCATAAGATTCCTCCAGGGTCTTACATGCTGATAATGTAATTATTTCTTCCCACTGCAAATTATCTGAATAAATATTTTTACTGTTTGTAGACATGACAATATCTCCCAGAGATGATGTTCTGGGTTTCCATTTGCATTCATGTAAGCGTGTGCAATATAACAGGTATCAGAACATATGATGTCTGAAGTATTAGAAATAGGCTTGACATTCATTTGCAAACTCTTTGAAAGGCAAATAAATTAGAATAAAAATGAAGCAATAGTTATAGAAGGTATGGGTTGTTACATTAGAGACAGATAAATGGATTAAGTGAGGAGACTTGTTCTTCAGGTAAACAGTTCTGACAGTCTCATTCACATTCTCTCACAAGGTAAATATGGTGAAGTCAATGGTTAAGTCAGCTCTGTCACATTTCTCTAAAGACCATTTTGGTGCTTTCACTAAAGAAAAGTTTCAGAATCCCATTTAGTTTTAATTCACATTTGACTTCTGACTTACCACTGTTGCATGTGGCTCAAGCAGGTATACAGTTTTCTCCATGAGATTCTATCTTTTGACGTTTATGTTACCAGGCATGTACTAACATCTGCTTGGGAGAAAATTGAGGTTATTTGCATACCTTTCACCATCTTTTATTGTTTATAGGAAAATGAGATTATATTAATATCTGTATTCTTCATCTTCTGTGGTTTAGGCACAAATCCTATGCATATTCTATGCTGGTCTTTACAGTCTTACCAATGTGAGAACTCCTAAGTCAGCATTCCCAATCAGTATTTCTTACAAAGCCTAGGGCAAAGTTAAGGCATAGTATATGGGAGTCAACAAAAATAAACAACGACATAGAGAATATTCCCATTTTGGGTTATTTTACAACTAAGTCTGGACTGAATTCTTGTACAAACACAAGGCTGACAGTTTTGTTCCACTTCTGTTTTGAATTTGCTGCATTTATAGGAGTTCAGAATATTTTATACTTTCTTATTTTATTATAACTCGAAGCATTTGACATAAACAATTTACTTGACATAATTATTTTAAAATATACATTGTCCCTAACAATTTTATAAAAGAAATGTATGTGCATATGCTAACAATTGAACTCATCATGAAAAAGGCAAAGACTGCAAGATTTACATTACAAAGACTATATGTTAACATTTTTTTTTGAGCTGTTTACAGCAAGAACATCATGTCATTAAATTTCCAGCTCTAATAAGTGGCCCACAAGTTTTGTCTGCATGCTTCATTTAGGCAGAAAGTTTATGAAAATTACTAATGACCGGTCATTAAAAAGCGTAATTAGATCATAACGCATATAAAAAGAATAAAACTAAAGAAGATTTCTAAGACTTATTTGCAAATATTTTGCACAATTATTATCACAGTTCAGTTTAATAGACGTGCTCCATCTCTCCCCAAAATTTTGGAAGCTTGGACCACTACTTTTAATGAAAATAAACTAAGATTAAATCCAGTGCATTTCTTTCAGGTAACCTTGTTAGTCCAGCAAAGCATGAAAGCCCAGTCAATCTGCACATCAGTCAAAAACAGTAAGAAAACAGCCCTGGAATATTTTCTATCTTATATCAAGCTCAAAGAAAAGGAATGTGAAAATAATGAAACAGAGTGGTCTACTGACTGCCAAAAATGATATATCAGGTCAGCAATAGAATCAAGCAAAGATTGTGATCATGAGTACCAGTGAAACACACTGTGCAGTAGGTGATAATGTTTGCCTGAAGTGTTAATGGGAGCAATGCTGATAAATGAAGTTCAATCACAGACCAGGATTTTGTGTGCACAAAAAAATAAGACTGCGAATTACCTTATACAAATGCAGGCTGTGTAGTAAAACACACAATGTGTTTTACTATATATGTCAAGGATCAGTGTGGAAAAAATACCTCAAAGATGAAAACAATCTGTAGTTCATAGTATGTCTTCTTTGATATTAATTTCCCATTCTAATTCCAATTATGACATGATCCTCTTCCATGGATTCTGGAAGATACAGAAACTTCTCTGTCTTTGATGTAGCCTTTCAATGTCAGACTGCAAAACAGACAACTGCAGGAGACACAACTGACTTTCCTTTCCCAAAGTCAGAGGCATCACACTTTTTGTCCCCAGACTTTTTCAACATGTGCATAGTATTTACCCCTACACAAACTATGGAAGAAGTTTATAAAGTGCAGAGAGCTGGGATTCCCATGTGTGGTTTGTTACTGTCCTCTTAACTAACCACAGATGTAAGCAGGATGCTCCTGATTTCAGCTATCAATGTTGTGCAACAAATGGTGAAAATGCTAAAAGCAAGTAGCAAGGAACATGGTCTATCACTTCAGCAAAATAAAAGCAAAGGCACATGGAGTGCCTCAAGTAAAAAACTGAAACACAAGCAGAGACCATCATTAATGCTAGATTGTTTGAAAATACCTATAATGAAGCAAAGATAATATTCAATGAAATAACTGAATGAGAAATAGTTTCTAAGCCACTCCCTTACGTAGCTCAGGAAAAATGCAGCATCTGGATATGAACACAGATTCAACTGGTGAAAAGCCCAGTTTTGCTCAAAGCAACTTAGGGATATAAAATGTGGAAAATTAATGCTGTGACATTGTGTAACCTTGGGCAAATCATGTTACTTTTTTGTATCTGTACTTTCTTTCTCTTTTCAGATGTAGTGCCGGCAAAGGTGTGTGTTGATTTCTTTTATTTAGTTATTTATTTATATCTACTGCATAGCAGAGATGACTATACTCTGAAAATTCTAATTGAGACAGGTACATCAAGTTTTCGTGGCTCAGCAGACACAAAGTGTATAGCTGTTGTATTTATATCACTGTGAAGATGGAAATAAACTTGAGCATATATTTACAGCAAGAATGGTATGGGGCCACCACTGAGCCAGTTGCTACAGAAAAGCTACACCTAATGTTACACCTAATGTTCAGCTAGTTATGATGATATCACCAAAAAACAGATATGCATTAACTGACTATTTGTTTTAGTAGATCCATCTGTTTAACAAGAATGTATTTGCCATGATGTTAAATATAATTTCTCCTGAAGATAGCATATGATGTGATGGACCTAAACTAGGTTGTATGACAGTGAACTGT